GAGGGCTCTGTGTGTGTCCCTCTGTGCCAGTCCCCAGCCTGGATAAATGGAGAGGGTTGCTTCGGCGTAAAACCTGCTTCTTGTAGCCCGATCTTCAAGTGTGTATGGCAGCTTTTTCTAATTATTTTTACTTGGTTTGGTGATATTTACTTGTGTGAATATTTATCATAGTTTTACATCAGTTTTGTGTTAGTTTCTGGACAAAAGTTGAAAAGAAAAGCACAAAAATAAAGGACTTAGTGGTTCTAAAAAGGAATATGTCTGTTATCAAAACTTTCAAATGCCTGAAGCCTGTTTCTCGAGCTGTTTTCCTCTGTTAAAATATCCAACAACCACACAATTACGATGTTTGAATCCCAAAACTAAAATATGACAATATTCAAACCAGAAACAAAAGCGATTTCGTACAAAAGACTTGAAAAGATCGGCTTTGACAATAGACACATCCCACTGGGAAATCAAACATGGTGGTTTGATGCTTACTTTTTCAGAGAATCCTTCCCAGTATGCATTGCTCCCACTCTGGTCTAGGTCTCAGTCTCGGTCTCCATCCCGGTCTGGTTTCGGTCTGGTCTCGGACCTGGATCATTCCTGGTTCAGTCCGTATGCAGTGTAAAAGTCCGGCATTGCAGTCACGGAAGTCATGAAAACGGGAAACGGTTGTTTTCCGTTTTTTCCATTCTTCATTTCAACTTCAAATCGAAAACTGAAAAAACGAATCATTATCCGTTTTTTCATTTTGGTTTGGAGGCAAATAATGAAGAAAACAGTTGTTTTTTTGTTTTCTTATTTTTGGTTTTATATTGAAAAACAAATTAATGAATGATACATGGATTTAACTTAGTCCAAAAATAGAGGTTATGTATAGAGAGACCAGATGTCCCTGTTTACCCGGGAACAGTCCTAGTTTTGAGCCCTGTGTCCCCTGTCCCAGCAGACCTACCCAAAACCAGTGATTTGTCCCAGTTTTATACAACAAATTTCCCCAGTAACCCTAATTTGATAGCTGTCAACAGTAAAGAGATGCATAAATTGTCATTTCTTTTGGTAAAATACAGAAAATCTGCTTAAAAATGACCAAACATAAAGAAAATGTGACTATACTGACTCAAATTAGTGCGAAGTGCAAAACAATTTACAACACTTTTTTCACAATTTTATTATTACCAACCACTACAAACCAGGGATGTCCCCATTTTTTGTTTTGAAAATGACTTTCTCACCTTATAACTTAGTTCAGCAATAGAAGCAGACATAATAGACATTATTTTATTTGAAATACTATACCATACTGCAGACCTGGGCATTGTACAGGACCCAGGCCACATACGACCCTTTGGTTGACTCTCACCGGCCATTTAAGCTAATTTAGAATTACAAAATAAACATATTTTATCATTTTACCTCATGCAGGCACTAAAGCTGCATTGCTTTTATTTTAGAGGTGTATTTTTTTTTCCTTTTTCTATAAATGCCTTTTTTTTTGTAAGGCAACCTCACTTTTTCATTGCTTAGTCATAATGTAAACTCTTACCAGTCTTACCAGCTCGTCAAGACAATGATATTTACTGCTTTTTATAAAGAAATACAATTAATATTATGCAGAATTGAGTTAAGCATTTTGGCCCTGCCCTCCACAATATTTTGTTTCTCATGTGGCCCCAGGGAAAAAAATAATTGCTAACCCTGCTATACTGCATACAACTGTACAACAACTTATTCTTATGTAACAGATAACTCTATGTCCTGTCAATCATCATATCATTGTTGCACTGTCTTCCTATGACCTCTTGTATAAAGCTGAGATTGTATATTTCATTACTTATTTTTCTATTTTAGTTTGACTTGTACATAATATATTTATATAATTATGCCTTATTTGACTCTTGCTCTTTTTTGCTACTTATTTAGAATTTACAATTACCATTTATATTTTGTACTCTTTGTTATTATATTATATTGTGATATGTGAGCTTCTGTGTCCAAATAATTTCCCTTGTGGATCAATTAAGTTTGTCTAAGTCTAATCTAAGTCTAAGTCTAATTCCCTTCAACAGTGGCACTCAGGCAGAACTATGGGCAGCTTTCAAACAACAGACAAAATATGTTTCTTTACTTTTTTGTGCCTCTTTTTTGTCCATGGAGCTAATATTTTCACCCCACAATAATTATTTCCTCAACCTAAGAACTCAGAAACATCTTATTTAAGGTACTATATAACACAAAATTGGCTCTTGTGCGCTTTAATGTTACCTCCTCTAAAACATACTTAAAGTTGTGTTTTGTTTCATTCACACCTGTTTGAGTAATCCTTCATTATTAGTCTGTCTACATCTCCAAAGCTCAGCACACTCTCGTGATGCCACGAACCGATAATTTTCAAGTTAACGGCTTCTTTTACCTTTAGTAGGGTGTCCAGATGTCTCTATTTACCCGGGAAAGTCCCAGTTTTGAGCCTTGTATCCCCTGTCCCAGCAGATTCATCCAAAACCAGTGATTTGTCCCAGTTTTATACAAGAAATGTCCCAAGTGTCCCTATTTCTGACAAATCTGATAAACACCAACAGTAAAGAGAGGCATAAATTGTATTTTGTTTAGGCAAAATACAGAAAAGCTGCTTAAAAATGACCAAAACACAGAGAAAATGTGACTATACTGACTCAAATGTTACATCATGAATGGGCCGAGTGCATAACAGTTTCCCTTAATTACGTACTTGTGTCACAGTCTTTATTATTACCCACCCCAGTTTTTGATTTTGAGAGAGACTGGCAATTCCAGGGCTGAAATGATCCAAATGATTCTAATGAAGGTGTATGGAGTTTAAAAACACAGTGGAGGGTTTCCTGTATTACCACATGACATCGCAAGGTAGAACAGTGTTTTCATTTTGAGAGAAGAACGCAGCCTAAACAATCAGAGAGAGCAACCTGGTCCCCCATGAGACATCAGTGGGGTCAGTTCATCACCACAGAAGCAGCTTATGAGGCACCCAGCCCATATGATCATTATATCCACAGTGCAATGTGTGTATCTGTAAAGGCCCATGAACATTTGTGTGATATTGGTCACACATGAGAATGTCTGTGTTTACTAGTGTGTAACAAAAATGTAAATTTTTCATGAGTTCTGTGTTAGTTCTGTGACTGTAGATCAGTGTGTTGTGTATCACCAGAAAAAGAAGAAATGGAAATTATTTTCGTTCCAATTAGAATTGAAACGGCATACACCAAAAGAGAAAGGAACTGTTATAGTTAGTGATTATCTCGAAATCTATTAATATTTTACTATACAAATGCATAGAATTATAAATAGATAATAGTTTTTCTGAGATTTTGAGACCACTCCCGTTGCTCTAGCTCGATTCTTGGCGGAGTTATGACCAAAAACGCATATTTGACCTTGGTTACCTTGACCTTCTAGTGACCTTGACTGGATCAACCTGTAACATCCAGTGTACCCCGGTTATGTGTGTGTCAACTTGTTTGATGATTGGGTCGATAGTTCAGAAATTGACGAAATTGCCTAATGGCATGACCCGTGTGACCTCAAATGACCTCGGATCTTGACCAAAATGTTTTTTCGGCATCAGACACGGGGGCTTGAGCCACTTACCAAATTTTGTGACAATCGGTTCCTAAATGGCGGAATTATCGCGGGTGGACAGACACACAGGGTGAATACAAAACCTGGTCAACCCTTCAGGGACCAGGTAATAAATGTGTTGTCTGCAGTGCCTCTGTTGTTTAACTATGAACTAGTTTTCTACTACTGTGTATTTGATTTTCTTGTTTTAAATGTCAGGTACAAACTAAATATCAGGCAGAGTTACAGACGTTTGTATTGGTTACTAAACTGTGACAGCTGTTTCACATTTTAGTGTGTGTGTTTTGTGTGTGTGTTTTGAGCTCTTACAGGAGAAAATGTCATTACTCATCGCTGACATGCATATAATTTTGCCACATCATCTGCATAATGTCTGTACGTTACCAAAAATCCTGAAACAACAAGAGGGTTCCTGGCACTTATTGTTGCAAACCTTTTTTAACTTAACTCGACCTATTCTTCTACATCACACCATTCATATACTCCAAAGGTATTACTTCGCTTATCGATTAATTTAGCAATAATCTTTTAAATTCATCAAAAGCCTATTAACTCTTTCCCCCTTGGACGCCTACTAGGAACAACCCATACATATATGACTAGGGCTACCTGTAAAGCATAATTACATAAAAGAAAACAGACTTCTACGAGTGATTATAAATGATTTTCACACTTATGAACTTTACTGAAACAGACATTTGGTGTCTCTGGAAACCTTAGACTCTGAACTCTTCATTTATGGATGTTTAAATGTGTTTCTACTCATTTATAGGTTTATAACAGCTCACTGAAAATGAGAGTTTACCTGATCAGGTGCAAAATCGAAAACAATTGAAGCTACAATCGTCACTACTTCGATTAACTTTGGAAAAAAATCGGCAAAAACGTATCCTTGAATCTTATTGGTCAGCCTAGTATGGGTTGTAGTGGCCCCCGCCTATCACAGCCACTGTTTACATGTGAAAAACCGAGCCGTTTCTAATGGTCGTCAAATCACGTCTTTAGTGATACAGCGGAGGTGTCAAAACTCGTCATTAAGGAAACAAGGGGGTCGTTAAATGTCGTCTTCATGGGAGAAAGAGTTAATATGAGGTTAGTTTTTGCTGAATTTGACCCTGATGCTTTGAGAACATCCTCAAGTTTACAAACAAAATAGGGATTTCATCAAAAACTCAAATTGTCATGTTTATGTAATTTCAGCTTTGTCCTTAAAACCTCTTCTCTCTGCACATTTCAGGTTTTGGAGTCTGTTTATAGGTTAATAGTTATTTGATGCAATATTAAAACGATTGTGACATCAGCCCTAACGTCCACATACACACAAATAGAGTCTTGTTTTAAAGCCTAACTTTTTGTACCCCATGCTTTGGTGACAAATATTAACTGAATTAATCTTCTCAGTATTCATCTTTATTCAAGAAGCTCAACAAAATATAAGTGCCACTGTGATATTAAGACAGAAAGTGCCAAGATTTATGATCAACTTGCATCAACACTCCACAACAGCTCTCATATGTTTTCGGTAATTATGGTGCATTCAATAGCAAACGATCGCATTTTTCACAATCACATTTTGTTTCCTAAAATTAAAATAAATTAAAGATAACTCAGTGCAATTATTAGGACAGACCAGAATCTTAAATTGCTATTGCGGCCATTATTTAGACCAATTTAGGAATGTGGGACTGCAGTATATTTAAAAACTATACAGTGATTACAATGCCGAGGAAGTAAATGTGGTAGAATGTTCAGATCAGTTGTAAAATTGTGGATTTGCAGGTCTTCACAACCTCTTTTAGAAATGTAAGTTTTTTTATAAATCAACATTGCATTTAGTTTTTCTTCTAGAGTTGTCCATTATTCAGGCTTGACTATAAAGACGCCACAAAATCCCTACAAAGGACACAAAGAAAAAATATAACATTAAAAACAAACAAGGAAATTTGTCTGTTAATAGGTAAGTTATTATAAAATGAGATATTACTTTATTACACCAGGCAATTCGGCGTCCCGATAGAGTCCATTATGGAGATAGCCTCCCTTCAAAGTCCCATCAAACCGAACCATCTTGACCCGATCTTTGTTTTGGAAACTAGCAGCTATTTCATACAACTGAATGAAGAACAACAACAAAAGTGTAAACATGCCAAAACACATACATTTCCAGTGTATGAATAACTATTACCGTTTCAGCAGTCTCAATAGGTACTGAGCTGTCATCTTCTGCGTGGAGAAATAGTATTGGGCTTTTCATTTTCTTTAAGCTGCCAAAACAAAAATAAAGAATAAAAAAATGCGGAGAAATACTGAATACATTAAAAGGTGCACTATGTAATTTTTCTGGTAGAAAGTCTGTGGCCACCACCTACTAGTCTCCATATCTGTTATTGCTTTGCCAGGAATGTTTCCGAGTAAGGTATTAAACTTATCTATCTCCATGGACCCCACCAGCTAAAGTTACAGGTCAGATCTGTGGAGACGCAAGCCTGTTCACAGTAGAAAGCATTTTCCAAAGGTATTAGAGCAATAAAAACACCTGTAATCAGTGGTGTAGTGGGGATTGTTAAGTGAGGTACACGATTCATGAAATTCATTCCTGAAATCAGTAATATTTGATGTTTTTTTTTTTTTTTATGTTATTAACATTAACAACATTCATAATCACCTACAGAACATATACCATAGGCTACAACACATGAATGACTGAACGCATGAATGAATGAATCAAGACTGAACCAGGACTAAACCAGGACTAAACCACGACTACATGAGGACTATATCAGGTCTAAACAAGGACTAAACCAGGTCTTATCCAGGTCTAAACCAGGACTAAACCAGGACTGAAACAGAACTAAACCAGGTCTTAAGCAGGACTAAATCTTGGAGAGAGAGAGGGAGAACCCTGAACCTTCAGAGCAGGGTGTCCACAAAGCACGACCGGGCGACAACTGTGTTTAGCCCCATGAGGCGCACAGCTCTGTGCCGGTCCTTTCGCCTGAGGTCACCCAACAGGCGACGTGGGCACGCCTCTGGACCCCGACACTCAGTCCTGGTTCAGTCCTGGTTCAGTCCTGGTCCCTCATGGGGCAGGTCACTATAGGACAGTACCGCAGATATCATGAGCCTATGCAGTTTGTTTTCACCATTGCCATTGCGGTTTGACATTTAAGTTGTAGACTAATTTATATTTGTTGGTTTTTATATCTCACGTCGGGAGAAGTGGGTGGACCACGCCCACTACACCTCTGCTTGTAGCTGAATAAATGCAAGATAAGTTCAATGTCGTACTGAAGAGTCCAGTCAAAGCAATAACATCTCCATGGAGACAAGCAGATGGCGGATCCACCAGAAAAGTCACATTGTGTAATTTCTAAAAAAAATAATTTAATGTCTCAATATAAAAGAATAATCTGAATAACTTGCCAAAAATGTTTCAACTGTACTTACTTTTCCTCTGTTGGAAAAGGTGGAGATTGTAAAAGGCTTCCTTCTCCTATAAATAAATATTTAATACCAGGAAGAGTAAAATAAAACTAAAACACAAAAAAATATAGAATTATGAAACAGCAACAGAGGATATGCACTTTATAATGTTAATGTTGTAGGTGGTGGTTACCCAGATTAAAGGATTTACGGGAATTTTGCTTCGAGCAGCATTAAATGTTCCTTCAAGAATAACGCCATCTAAAACCACACCTGGAAACAGAAGAAGACATTTTCATACAATCTAACCACACTGTCCACATCTTAGCCATACCTTTCTCAAGAAGTTTTACAGCAACATTTGTTGATAACCTGGACAAAAAAATAAATAAATAATTACAAATGAATAAACTTGAAACTATACCTCAGAAGTCTATTATGTAACTCTGCCATGTCATTACTGCATGTGGTCCTATAGCCATAAGAAGCTTAATATTATGTGATTAGATCTGGCAACCAATATTCATAATTCAACTACCACTCGTACCAACAAAGAAACTATTCATAAAGATTCATCCCTATTCATTAGAAATGTTTTTTCATAGCCGATGCTGATGTTTAGAACCCAGTGAAATCGACAGCCGATAAGCTCTGCCAATATTTTTAGACAGATATTTAGGGCCAATTTATATTTATTTTGCCCAAATGGTGTCATTTAACGTCGAGAGGAGCCAGTTGAGGTGGCTCGGGCATCTGTTCCGGATGCCTCCTGGGCGCCTCCCTCGGGAGGTGTTCCGGGCATGTCCCACCGGGAGGAGGCCCCGGGGAAGACCCAGGACACGCTGGAGGGACTATGTCTCTCGGCTGGCCTGGGAACGCCTCGGGGTCCCCCCGGAGGAGCTGGAGGATGTGTCTGGGGTGAAGGAAGTCTGGGAGTCCCTGCTTAGGCTGCTCCCCCCGCGACCCGGCCCCGGATAAGCGGACGAAAATGGATGGATGGATGGTGTCATTTAAATTTACTACAAGCTCACCTTAATCCTTTTTACCACAAACCTATAAGAGAGCAGTCTAGACACATTTCGTGCAGTAAATGTTTTCGCACAAGTGTTCAAATAAAGCTTTGAGTGCCTCTTTAAGCAGCAGCTTGTCAACAACAAAATATCGGCCAATCAAGGAGATTTATGGTCAATAGTCGATAAGCTAAAAAGCACAAACACTGACGCACAGATATATCGGTCTGTTGTTACTACTGATATAATGGGGGGGTTTGGGATACACTTAGTTGCAACAGCACTTTACAAAAATGTGGGAAATTATTTGTACACACGCAGTGCCGAGAGAGTGGCCCCAGATAACGACCAGGCTGCTGCCACTTCGTGCTTTGACCCAGTTGTACACGTAGAGGGAGTCAGTGGTCGCACCTTCTTCAGTGATCTCTCCAGTAGAGTCTCCAAACCCTGAACATGAACAATGACACTTAACAGAGATAAAGAGAACAACTCATAGTATTATTTTTGCAGATTTAAAAATGCTTATTCAAAGGTGCCTCATGTAACTTTTCTGGTGGAGCCGTTGTCTACATGAAGATGTCTACTTAAACTTATTTATCTCCATGAAGACAAGTAGATGACACCACCAGGCAAAGTTACAGGTCAGATCTGTAAGTGTATTTTTAAAAAGGTATTAATAGCAACAAAAACACCTGTCGTTAAATAAATTATGATAAAAAAATTATACGTTTAAGGCCAAACCAAGGAAACATTATCTAGGCAAAATAATAAGGGTCATTCCACGCCAAATCTCCAAATTCCCCCGCTCGACCATCTCAGATTTGACTGAAAAAATTTTAGGAGGTGGGTCAGTCCATATGAAATCATCATTATAGAGTTGGCTGAAAAAAATTCTAAAAAATTCTAAAATGACCAAATGAAAGAATCTCAAATTTTAGCTCAATCCCTTCAGACGTTTCTGAGTTATTGCCTGTTGAAATTTTGGGGCCATGCCCATTTTTTCGGAAGCCTTCATTTATAAGCATGTTTGAGAGACCATAACTTCATAAAAATAGAACGAGGAAGCTGAAAATTGGTATTATTGTAGATTCTAAATCTGTTGTCAAATATTGGGTATCTTTATTAAGGGGGGTGCTGTGGGCCTCCAAAATCTGAAATTTGGTTGCCGCTCAGTTTTTTTTTTTTTCTTTTTTCAATGTTTGAGGTCTAAGATCTATTTACTCCAAGCAGATAATTGCAAACTAACTCCTGAACCTGAATATTTGATCTTTTTGGCCCCTTCTTTGGAGGCTCGGTTCCCCATGTGGGCACAGTCAGATGTTGATAAAATTGTTACCAGAGAAACTTTGGCATATTCTGGTTAGTTTAAAGTAATAATAATATCTATTATTAACTTTCATCATTTCAAACGGAATTTTTGAAAATGAGCTCTCACTTTTTTTGGTGAAGTTCAGGTACTTTTCCACCTGCTAGAAAGATTCAATTACCTTTAACAGCCTTAGACACTAATTGTTTGTTATAAGGGAAGACAACTGGAGATTCCAAAAATTTAGCTCCCAACTCCTTATAGTTTTGTCATTAAAAAATATTTTGTTAACTACCCTCTTGACCCGCTTTGTGCAGAGTTTTCTGAGGAGCTGCTTTCAGATCACTGTATCTAAAAAACTATTTAAGGTAGGTGCTTCAAATTTTCAGTGGTTAAAATTTGAGATGGTCGAGTGGGGGCATTCGGAGATGTGGCGTGGAATGACCCAGAACACAACTCCATAAAGACCAGCAGGTGGCAGATCCTCCAGTGGAAAAATTACATAGGGCACCTTTAAACAGAAATGACAGGGTATTCACAGTGTTGGGAAGGTTACTTTTAAAATGTATTCCCTTACAGATTACAGATTACATACCCTAAAATGTAGTTTGTAACGTAATCCATTAAATTACTTTAGGTGAGTGACGTAATCTGAATACTTTGGATTACTTGATTTGGTTCACTTTTTTAGACCTGGTTTAGTCCTGGTTTAGTCCTGGTTTTAGTCATTGTTTAGACCTGGTTTGGACCTGGTTAAGACCTGGTTTAGTCCTGGTTTGGACCTGGTTTAGACCTGGTTTAGACCTGGTTTAGACCTGGTTTAGTCCTGGCTTGGACCGGGTTTAGTCCTGGCTTGGACCTGGTTTAGTCCTGGTTTAGTCCTGGTTTAGACCTGGTTTAGTCCTGGTTTAGTCCTGGTTTAGACTTGGTTTACACCTGGTTTACACCTGGTTTAGACCTGGTTTAGTCCTGGTTTAGTCCTGGTTTGGACCTGGTTTAGTTCCCGGCAATGAGTGGTGGGCGGGGGGTATAACCCAAAATGTAAAAACAGGTAAATACCGCCATGTAATCCATTTATTTTAACAAAGTAACTATAATCCAATTACCACTCATTCAAAAAGTAACTGTAACCGAATACAGTTACTCATAATTTGTACTCTGATTACTTCACTCCGGTACATGTAATCTGTTACTCCCCAACACTGGGTATTCACTAACCTCTGTAGTCTGGCACCACCACATGATAACCAAGTGCACTCAGAACCTGACACGAGAAATGTATTTTACTGGAAATATAAGCTCCAATATTATACTTCAGTCACCACTCACTTTTAAAACTCCAATGCGATGTGGCGCCGCCCTGTGAAAATGTGCCGCAATATGAACAGACTGCCCATCCCAGTGTAATTAAATACATGACAAAACCGTTCTCACTCATACCTGTTTTTTGTGTTTCCATGGAAATAAATGAAAACAGGATTTCCATCTCCTAAAGCTTTCTCATACCAGTCCAGATCTTTTCCTTGTGCCTCCTTCCACCGGAGATCAGGAACAGTGAGCCTTGAAAAAAAGCATAAGAGTATACAGAACAAATATATGAGACCATTATAGATTAATTTATGAAACTACTACTCCTAATTGTTGGATGCACGAGAAAGTAAAAGTGTGTATGAAAGGTTTTGATGGTTCCGTTGAAAATTTTTTATAGTGAGTACCACACTGATGATATCACACTCTTCAAAAGTTTGGCACAATTTACACTCAAGAAACTAATTTTTTCAATAATTTAAACATTATTTAAACAAACTAAATATGTTTTCTCTTATATTTTTATTTGCCAAATAATAATATTGATATACATTAGAGGAGTTTTGGTTATGATTTCCAACCAGGGAGTAAAATTTAGGTTAATTTGGGCTTCCAATAATTTATGATATTAGGTTCTTTTTTCAGACCAAGAGTTTGTTTTCATATCTGACATTTTCAACTGTTCACTAGCAGGTTTCCTCTGAGTGGTCACATTGTCACCATGTTGCTGTGTCCGGTCAGCTGATTTAAACAGGTTTTGGCGCTGTCCTACTGGTGTATGCAGGACGACAGCGCCATCTGCAGTCTGACTTCCTCAGGACAGTATCCCAGGTGTGTGAGAGTAAAAAAACACCATCTTCCTGGATTATAGTCCCGAGGGCACGTACCGGACTGCAGATGGCGCCGTCATCCTGCCTCCACCAGTAAGAAGACAGCGCCAAAATCTGTATAAATCAGCTGACCGGACACGTCACAGCGACATCACGTGACCACTCTGAGGAAGAGTGAGTGAACAATCAAAACTGTCATGTATGAAAACAAACTCTTAGTCTGAAAAAAGAACCTAATAACATACGATCTTAACAGTCTTTTAGTAAAATGGGTTGTCATAGCCACTAGCAAAAACTATAGTAGCTTTGTTGGATAATATCGGCTACTTCAACTTACAAATACACAATTAATTTAGTTGTAGGCCGATGTGAAGGTGCAAGGGTCATTTATATTTTGTCTCTTTACAAATGTTTGGACTCACCAAACTCCCAGAGAGATGCCCTCCTCAGGCGACAGGTACAGGTTGATAGTGTGATTGAGGGAGAAGTCAGCAGGTTGGCTCAGGTCAGCAAAGTACGGCAGTCTCACTGTAAACATAATGCAATGAATATGGAAAGCTCTCTTCACTGCATTCATTGTAATAAAAAAAAAAAAAAAAGCAAAGAGACGAACAATATAAAAACAAAAATCAGTGACCCCTCTCATGGGACAACTACACCAATTTTTCAACATCTGAGAAGAATTAACAAATGGCACAATATATTTAGATATGGTTTACTTTTCACAAGTACCACCAAATCTAAATCAGGACTATATAAGAATTATTCCAGGTCTGAAAGTGGACTACATTATTTTCACTGTAGTTCAAGTAACACAATGATTTAAAAAAAAAAAAACCACTTAGACAATACAATGTAATTTTCTGCACAAAACAATAATAGTGTTTTCTTTAAGTGGTTTTGTACTGGTGTTAGTGAAGTTCAAGATTACTCTATTTTTTAATATAGATACTTTGAGTAATTGAGTATCTGTTTTTGATAACAGTTTTTAGTATTGATATTGAAGTATCTGATTTTCAATCTTCTGGATAACACTAAGAGATAACTGCATTGACTGAGTTCATTCATACTTTGTCTGTTGTATGCTTTTTGACTTGTTCTATTATGAATCTAAACTTCTAAGCGCTATTACAAAAAAGTCACTTACATCTGTACATGAAAACAGCCTGCTGGATTAGTTCAGGGAGTATTTTCACAGAGAATCCCAACATGGCAACTGCACCGAGTGACAAGAGGATGATTTTCTTCCATGATGTGGGCCTGTCAAAGGATAAAGATTCATTTAAATGACACATGATATGATAAATAAGGCAAACTAACCTTAAAAACATGGACTTACCGCTGTAACATAAGTTCATCACATTGTAATTTAGGGATGGTCCAATATGGATTTAGCCAGTTCCTGATATGATACTGATCATAGCATTGTGGCCAATAATCAATATTTGTCAATATCAATATTGAGCTTATTAAAATCCAAGTCAAGGATCATAAATGTATGTTATAGTAGAGTTCACAAATTAACAAACTAACAAAAACTATTTATCTGTCAGATGATTAGTACAAACAAGCAAACATATTATAGTCTGTTTAAAAATACAAATCTGATGCACTGAGGACAAACTTTTAACTTGGAACGTGTAACACACGGGCACAAAGAGACTGGGGCAGTGCAGAAAAAAATGGTCCCAAATATCGCAAAATGTTCAGTATCAAATAGATACTGATACCTGATGAAACCCTCCAATATGACCAATATCAGGGACTAAGGTTTGTATTAGTCAACTAATAATGTACACAGATTGTAAGGATTTATATAGGACAACAGAAAGGAGTTTGTATTTGTATTTATATTTATTTGACCTCCATTAGCTGTGCTTCCACACAGCTATTCTTCCTGGAGTCATGTTCTTTTGAAAGGAGAAGTGTGTGAGTTAGTAAGCAAAATATTTTGTGGTTGTTTTTGTTTGTTTGTTTGTTTGATTGTTTTTTTTTAAATATGTTAACAATTTTATTGTCAACATATCATGTATTGTATATTGTTGTTTTAGCATGAACTCCTGTGCAGTTATGGTCGTAAACATAGAGATACATAATAGTTTCGAGCACTTTGCCACACTCCCGTTTTAGTTAACTAATCAGCAGGACAGGACATTAGTTAATCTTTTTTTTTTTTTTGTTGACTTGATACCACTCATAACCATGAACTCATCCCTATTGACCAAGCAATTGGCATAATTTATTATTAACATGGATTTCAGAAATCAACTGTTTTATTTTATTTATTTATTTATTTTTTACATAAAATGGCTGTAATTTTATTTATTTTTTTCCCCTTGCAAACAAGTTAAGCTGTTATAAGTTATGAAAGTTTCACATTTCCCATTCAGTCACTACCACTGATTACTGCCCTTGTGCACTGATTTTTACTGGGTCTGGGTTTTTGATTATCTTCCATTTTGCCTTGGAAGTTTAGAACTAACTTCTTCAAACTAAATTCTACCTTCACTCCACCAACATGTACCCAAACAGCTTGAAAAGGGGTGTGTCAAATACAGCAGAGGAAATAACAGCCTACATCATAACCACTCTCTTCATAAACACCAGTAAAGAAGTGAATTAGGCTTTTCTTATTGCGTGTAATTCTGTCTTAAACCCTTTACAATGGCACCAGTCACACCAGACAGATTAACTTATGCTCTATGGGCTACAGGTCACTGCAGAGGAAAATAGTAGGTAGTCTAACACAAAGTTTGCACGGGTTGCTTTCCTATATTTGAACAGGAAAGTAGCCAGACTTGTTTTTTTCCTGCTGAATTATAAACTAGATCGCATATAGTGAATATATAGCCTATTGTATAACTATAAAGGCTATATACAGTAGGTAATGTATGCAGTGACAACACGCACCCACTATAGGCTACAGATTTTACTTAAAGGCTGCAAACTCACGTCTTTTCTTTCTTCTGTTGCTGTAATTTTGTAGGCTTCTGAACCGACGCTGAATCATCCTTTCTTACGTTTCTCTTCTTCATTTTTCTGCGTCAATTCGCGTGCAGAAATAGCGCTAAATGTCGCTTTTGGTGTTACTGTTAGTATGATAACATTATCGATCAGAATAAATACAGTCCAAGTTCAAGAGTGGGCTGTCGTCTGGAGATTTAAGGTAGCACCAGAGATCATATACGGAAACCTGTATAAACAAGCCATTGTGATTCATCGCCACCTTAAAATTGTGCACAGTTAGTTATTATCTTTTTTTTTTTTTTTATGATGAACTAGGTCAGTGTGCCCGAGAGTAAACTTTATGCTTCTGGTGAGAGGGCATTTGCATAACCTAAACTCCAGTAAGTAAATTTAATGAATCATAGACTTACCTTTCTGAAGCAGACCAAATTTGGAAATAAAACTATAACAATCCTATAATTCCCAAGTTTCCAAATAAACTACTAATGTACAAGTTCACTGCATTAGATTATTAAACCTAATTAAAGTCGTCTGCATAAATAAACTCAACTTTATAACATAACTAAGCATACTATAGCACCACATCAGCCCGTTTATATATACATATTTTTTTTCTTTTTCTTTGGCATTTTTGATTACGTTTTACAAAATCAATCTTTAAACCACATGGCTAATTTGTTACAGTGAGCTTGCGTGGGAGTAAAGGACTCACAGTATAATATTATGTGCATTCTTTCAGTGATAGACGTGTGCTTTTGATGGTAAGTGTGCAGGTTTCACTTTATTTTTGTGAGATACAGTTGTGATGAAAACTCTGAAAGGTTTGAATTTGAATTTATTTATTTGGAGGATAAGCCCCTTGACATGTCTCGCCATTTCGTTTTCGAGGAGGTCGTCATAGCTACAACAACAAAAAACAGATACAGTAGGGCAGATAGTCGGCTACATAAATTGAAATAAGCACCAAAACAACAAAATCAGCACAAACACACACTCAAACACACTCACTCACACTTGACTGTTTGACACATAATAAAACAAATTTGAGCAAAAAAACTAAAACTGAGTTCGAAGATAATCACAAAATACTACAAGATGAACAACAAAATGATCAAAAACAATGACATGGGTTCTGTAAATATTGAACCAGAGCATTTTTAAATGAAGAGACAAAATGTAAATGCATGAATTGATGAGTGTTTTCTTGTTTGTTTTTTGACTCTTGGGACAACAAAAAATATCTGATCTGTGAGACGTAAACTGTCAGAGGATCTGAATGGAATTAAATACTGTTTGAGACATTCAGGAAAACTAAGATTAATGCATTTAAAGCTAAATAATAACCAGTGAAGTTGACGTCGGGAGGACAGAGTGAGCAGGACAGTTGGTGATACATCGTACTGTGGTGAGTTCTGAAGGGACAGAGGAGAATGAATCTGCACAGACTCTTATAGAAAATATTGAGTGGTTGGAGGATAGAAGTTGTAGTATTTTGATAAATGATATCACAGTAATCTAAAATGGGAAGAATGCAGTTTGTAAAGACTGAAAGGTTTACATCATTCTCCCAAGACTCGGTAGTGAAGGATGGTGCTCTTGTTTTAGTCCGCTTTTGTGGAAGTTATAGTTTTTGTTGAACAGTTAGGAGAATTCGGATCCACCTAAAGCAGAGACAGCTCCTTCTCCTCACTCCTTTTCACTCCTTATAGTTGACCTGATGGCGTAGCAATCAGAGGTCAAAGCAAAGGAGAAGGAACGGCAAGAAAGGAGGTATTTTTGCCCTATTTCTGATTGGGCCCTACACTACTGATGAAAAGTTTCAGAACGCCACACTTTTTCAATTTTTTTACTGTTTATTGTGTCATTGCACTCTGAAATGAAAGCATAGAATAAATAAGCAATTTGAGTTGAAAAATAAATCATGGAATCAACTTATAGATCAAAATGTATTCTAAACTTTTGATTTATCAAAGTAGCCAAATTTGGCAGATGTAACAGTTGAATATTCTTTAGAAAGTTCTTCCCAAGTCGATTATAGACGTTCCCATAAATGTTTGGCACTTGCAGGTTTCTTGGCTTTCACTCTTCTGTCCAGTTCATCCCAAACCAGCTCGATGGGGTTTAAGTCTGGAGACTGTGCTGGTCAATCCATGTTTTCAAGCTTTACCATCTTGTTCTTTTTTTGTGGCAGAGCTTGGACTTGTGTTTTATTATCTTTTATCTTCTTTTTTTTAACCTCTGTCTGTTCAGTACTTACCTTAGTACCATTTCAAACTCTTCATTGAACTTGCACGACTTGAACTGCAATAAATAACTGGAAAATTTAGGGTGTTCTAAAACTTTTGACCAGTAGTGTATCTTAATTGCAGTAGTAGTATACTCTAAAAACACAGGGGGGCGCTGTTGGATAACACAAGCTCTTCAAGCATGACTGAAAAGACATTAGGCAAGGAAACAAATGCCACTTCAGTAGTCTATTTCTTTAGTAACATATGTGTAAATCAAATGGAGAAATTGAGGATTCCCCATTTAGACAGACATTTATGTAACTTTATTGATGGATCGCACTGCAACTTCTGTGGAGTTGAACTTGCCCTGAACATAATGGCCAAATTATAGGTCAGATCTGTGGAGAAGCCTGCTCACGATGAGAATGCAAGTTTTAAGGTATTTTTGAGCGATAACAACACAGGTAATTGAATTAACGCTAGACTGATAAGTTTAATGTCAATCCGTGGAACTTTTCAGGCAAAGCAATAACATTTCCATGGGACAAACAGGTGACAGTCCTCTCACCCAAAATATTGCAATGTGCACCTATAAAAAGTAGGTCAGTATTTAATTTTGGCCTTTTGTCTGTGTTAGTTATTGTGTCATCTTCAGCCACTTTTACCCCAATAAGAAAGTTCAACAGCACAACATTAAACTTGGCTATCTTCATGGAAACAAGGAGATAATGTGACCAGGCCAAGTTACAAATCAGACCTTTTATCTGTTTTTCAAGGTATTTTTGAGCAATAAAAACACTTGTAATTATGTTATTAATTGCCCTGTCAAGTTTCACAAGTAAAAACAACAAGCAAGACAAGACAAGCAAAAGAAAATTGTACTTTCCACCTGAAAAGCTACACCTTGCCGTTTTAAAGCATGATGTTTTCTGGCTGTTTTATGCATAGTGTTACAATTTTTGACCCTAAAGTCTACATTTCTGCACAACTTCTCAAAACTTGCCACTGAAAGAGCAAACACTCCAGTCACGTTGGCCCAATCTTATATCAATTTTCAAGCATTAACTCTCATATGAAAACTACAAAACACCTTGGCAGAACCTAAAACACTAACAAGATTTGACAGATGTATAAAAAGTTTTAGAGAATGTGCCAGAACATCTGAAAACAACTGTTATGGAATACTCAATAAAACTAATTTCTTTCACTGGGGGTCGCTGTTGGATAAGCCAAGCCGCTGTTCCGTCCATCTCCACCCCCCTCTCTTCAGAGCTGTGATGGGATGTGAGACGCTGCATCAGATCCAGTCTTTGCCCTGTGGCTCTGATCACGTCCTCTCAGAGCAAAGCGAGGTCGTATTAAACATCTGCAGCTTCCCACTGTTTTTACGACCTTTATTTACTCCCATAGATATACACATTAACTTATATGGATGTTGAGTTATATTACACATAATTGGCAAGATGTAACAAGTTCAGAGTTCATTTTTATGAGAAGACAACTATAGCTATGTAATAATGAACGTGGGAATAGATTATTTTACATGTGTGTGTGCGTCAAGTCATAAAACCTGTGTGGGCCAGTGATTTTCAAGTTTGGTACAGAGCTGTATATACACTGATATTGACTCATTGACTTTTTATGTAGACTACTTGAGATAAACAGCTGGTACTTACAAAAATCTGTGTGCTAAAGGAATCAACAAATCTCTACATGTTCAAGTCTTTAGAGAAGTCTGTGCTCAAGCAGATGTTTTCACAAGACAGCAGTTCTCCCCCCAAAAAAGAGAAAAAAACAGGCATCATAAATTGAACTTGTAAATACATCGTACTTTTGGCACTGGGGAGTCCTTTGCAGTTTTATGTCGTTTGACTAAAATAACCCCAACGTGTTCAGAACGTGTTTGTCAGCTTTCATGACGAACAAGAAGAGCCAAAGTTGACATAACATTGTTTTTTACTGCCTTGATGGTCCTATATTATGCAAAAAAGAAATCTTGTGAGCTTTTAGTAACGTTAGAATGTTGTTATCTCATCAAAAAACATATCTGGAGTTGTGTTTTGTTTACATCTCCAAAGCTCAAAATGCTCTGTTCCACTTTGTTTTCAAATTTACAGCTTCCATTTTACATTTTGTTCAGTTGAGTTTGGCAATTCCAGGTCTGAAATGATCCAAATTATTCTAGTGAAGGTGTATGGAGTTTAAAAACACAGTGGAAGTGTTAGTTTTCTGAAGACCTCAGCCTAAATGTGCAGGGATTTTGTGTTAAACATGTGTGAATGGAACAAAACACAAATCTGGGTATGTTTTTGATTCGAAAACAACACTATAACAAATCAGAAAGTACCGTAACATGGACCATTAATGTCTTTAGTTAAAAAGCAATGAAGCAAGAGTGAAAATTTGCTAAATTAAAATGAGCTGAGTGATTTAGTCATAGCTTGGATCACCTGAAGTTTGGCGATTCAGTATGTTCTTTGGTGACTCTTGGTGTGTCTTAGAGCAAAACATGGAAAGCTGCTTGCCTCCTGTGTCAGCAAAATGGAGCAATATGTTGGAGATTGTGAGTGTGAAAGGTTGAATAAAGTGCTTCAGCTCCAAACACGGGCAAAAAAGACAATGCACACTGTCAAAATCATATCTATTTGACCTATAATTTTCTTCTAGTTTTTATAACTAATTCTACTTTTAACCCTGTATGAGTTCTATGCCCCACACAGCCTTAAAGGTGCACTGTGTAACTTTTCAGATGTTGCCTGGAATGTTACACAGAATAGCATTACATTTATTTATCTCTACAGTTACATGTCAAATCTGCGTAGAGGAGAGCCCACTCACAATAAGAATGTAAGTGAGTCAGAATATAAGTCAATAAAAAACCTTGTTACTGAATAAATGCAACATGGATATGTTTAATGCCGTACTGGGACATTCCGGAG